GCTCTCTGGGCTGGGTGGGGCTCTCTGCTCCACAGCAGGGCTGGCCCCTCCCCTCTGCTGCTTGGCTGCAGCTCCAAAAGAGACTGCAGGAGAGACTGCTCCCCCCCACTCTCTACTAAGCAGGCATTCCCATGTCCCTCAGAGACACCTCTCAGCATTAGCTAGCAAACCATGAGCTGGCCACCTCCGAGCTGTGGCCCACAGGACAAAGGCAGAATCAACAGAAAGCTGGTAATGTCCCTCTGTTGTTTTCTTAACGGGCTGATAAACACTGAGTTAGGGGTGATAAACATTGCCTGCTGGCCTACTCAGGAGAGAAGGGAAATCCTGACCTAATCATAGCATCCTGCCAGGTCCTGGCCACACCCCGCCTCAGCTCAGAAGTATGAAAGGAAAGGGAGGGCTGCTCTAATGCACCCCCAGCTTCTAGCTTGAGCCACTACAGGCATGTGCCTGCATTTTTTCAGTCCAGAGGGGATGTTGGTACAGTTACAAACCAGTTCGCCCTAGCCAAGTTAGACTAAACTGCAAAGATTGAATCAATTCAGGCTCAGGCTTTTTGAATTTTTGTCCCTAGCCCTGCTGGTTACAGCTTTGTCCTTTTAATGCTAATGGCCAGTTTCTATTTTCAAACATACTATTTTAAAGTGATTTCTGAGATTCTCTTTTAAATTTCAACCAATCAGAGGGAGTGAGGTGCTGAGTGGGGTACAGGGCCCAAAAGCCAGATATGCAAGTACCTCACACTGTATTAAGCCAACAAGAATGAAACACTGAATACAATCCCTATACACTATAAAGTATCAGGCTGGTATACCAGAGGCCAATGATAAATTGAACCTGATTCAAATATCCTCATTAATGGTTGCAGAAAGGAAGAATTCCACAAAGCAGTAAATACAAAGAAATAGCACAAGGATCAACACATGGACACAACCTGCAAACTAGTAACTCAGGTAAGAAATAATCTGAAACAGTACAGAAAAAGAGAAGTCTGATTAGAACTAATGAGGAGGAGGGGAAGAGCTTTGGCTACACAAAATCATCATTCAGTTCCTACCCCACTAATACATTATAGCAGAAAATGTCAATAGATTTTTGTCATATTGAATGAAATAGTTTGAATGTTTGTAATAGTTGCCCATTAGCCAGTTTAGGAAGAAGACAAGATTTATCTTCTTATCTAGGCCATTGTTTTGGTCTACGTGCGGAAGGTCCTGACTTGGCTCAAAGTCTTAACTCTTGAATTTTATCTTTAGAGGCCTTTAACAAAGAGAACCTAAAAATGACCCTTAAGCAAATATCCCAAATTCCGAGAGATCAAATCCTAGGAGCCTTTTGACAAGATTGGAAATAAAAAAATCAATTCAGTGATATGGAAATTCCCCAAAGTAATTAGAATAGTCAAGAAAGAAACTACTTACCAAGCAAAAGAATCTGTTGAGAAAGATCCGAGCCCAAATTTGGGAGTAGTGACAGGTTTGGGTAGGAGGGGCCCTAGATGGCAACTCACTCAATAAAAACTGTAACCTACTGTCCCAATTTGGAGGTAATCTCACTTGCAGAACAACGAAGGAAGAATCGCAAGTGTAGGCCGGATCAGACTGATCACCTGAACCACCTTCTCCGTGAACACAAATCTCTTAGTTCACGCTGAAGCTGCAGAGCGCCTGAAAGGGACTGAAGGAAGGGGACTTAGTCCTATCACTGCTGAGGCAAGCCCATTGAACCGTACTACTGAGGCCAACCCATTAAATTGTACTACTGAGGAATGAAACCATATTTAGGTGTTTGGCTTCTCGGAATTCTAGGATTGTAAGTATATTATGAAAAATAATAGTATTGATTCAAATTTAACTTTTAGTTGTAATTGTAGTTGTTTTTGTAATACTAATTCTTATATCATTGTTTGGGAAGGAAGTGCATTCGGAGCATTGTTTCTGATATATGTAATTATTGTGTTCTTAATGTTTGTGTTATTTCTTAAAGCTAAGCAGTGTTATATGCATAGCAAAGAATTTTAAAATAAAATTGTGTTGTATGAATTAAGTGTGTAATCATTGTGAAATCGTGCAATCAACTAACTACTCCCCCAGCTAGTGCATCAAATGAATCAGTAAATTGTGTGGGATTTTCTCTATTCCATAACCCACTAGAGACAATTTTGTGCAGAATGTGTAAAAGTTTCATCAGCAGGGAGGTAATAATTCTTTTCTGGTGAAATATTGAATGTTCTTTTTCACATGTAATTCCATTCTGAGCACTGAGTTCTAGAAAGGTATTTTAAAAACCCTACACACATCTGCACACCTGGAGATAATTCAAGCAAAAATAACAAAAAAAATAAGAAACTGGAGTTACAGATTTATGAAACCTCAGAATGTTACAAGATCACATCCTATGTAGGTTCATGAAAACTTTTAGCAAATACATCAAGGATGTAAACAACAAGAATGGAAAGGAATAATTTAGAGAGATACTATCATAACTTGAAGTAACAGGAGTTTAAATTTAGAAGATGAATATTTCTGATTTTGAGATCTACTAGCTTGATCGTACTTAGAACTAGACTAGACAAGCAACTAGAAAAAAAAATAAAAGTGATCAGTCCTGTGTTAAGCAAGGGATGGGCTGGCTATCTTGCTACTGCAAGCCTTTCCCTCCCTTAAACTCTATGAGCTCCTATACACGTGCAGGGAGCCTGCTTCAACATGCTGTAATTCCAGTGCATCGGTGCAGACTGGATTAACTGAGTCTGCTGGAGCAGGGACATTAATGCACTCTAGCAGTGTCACGTGCATCAGCGTCCCCATGCTGAAACATGGCAGCTAGGCGCTTTGAACTAAAGCTTATTCAACAAGCTTTAGTTCAAAGAGCCTCACTGCTATTTTTCAGCACAGGAAAATTGATACGGGTGATGCTCTGGGTGCTTTTTAAAGCACCCCCATGCCTCCTGGAGCACATGCATCAATGCCCTATGTATCTCATTATGTTTGAATCCCGCCCCCTTGGCTTTCTATTTAACAACTGTCATTGCAACAGCTTCTCTTCAGCCACAGGGGAGGATGCAAATCTTCCACTGTAATATGAGATTGGGATCGATGCTGGTCCCTGTACCAGCTAGTAACAGGCATCAGAGGTGATAATTATCTTCCCTGAGCCTAAAATCATGCCACCTTTGCTATACAGCAAGACCTTGATAATTTGCATTAACAACCAGGAGACAATTGTAAATAAATTAAATATTGTAAATTAATATGTAAAAGCAAGACTACTACATTACTCAACAAATAACTTTCATTTGACAGTTTTGGCTTAGTTTTAATTACCTTAAAATTCATGAACTAGTTACAAATAACTACTTTGGTAGAGTTTATAAGTAACAGATGTTGTAACCTACGGCCATTCTATAGCCCTCTGCTATTAATTCTATACTGGAAAGTGTGGAGAAATAGCGGTCGCAACAATTTTTCACAATAAGGATCAGCAGGCTTCTGCTGCACCTTATCTCCACTAATTCCCATGTCCCCAGGCCCAGATCCCAAAGTCAATACAGATCTGGATGACTAGGGTAGAAACACTTTAATAGTCTTCTGGAATTGCAATGGTCCTAAAAGAAACCCTCAGCATACATGACCCTTTTACTTTCCCCTCTTCCCCACATTGATAAGACATTGCCCCAAAACCTCAGCCCATAGCAGATTGTTAACTTAAAATTGATTGAGTTTCAATTTGTTTTAGGAACATTACCTAATGAATTCACATGGATGTGAGAAAGTAGATAAGAAAGCATTTCTCCTATTACACAGATTGGGAAACTCAAATAATAATATTAGCTGCTTGAATCAATACACCATTTTAAAATCTGAACTTTTTAAGAGAATGAAGAAAACTGTTTTTATGTGGTTAACTGGTCTCTGTGTCATGGAGTACCCCTAATACACTACTCCAAATAATTCATTACTGACCTTCCCAACTCATGAGTTTCTAGGGTAAAGGCCTTCTTTCATTGTCCACAGTAATTCAACAAATCCAGTTCCTACCCTCTGAAACAGCTCACCAATCTTTTCCACACCACTGCTATTACTATCCTTACACAAAATATTTTTCCTTGTACCATTACTTCTTAATGTCTTTCTTGATTTTTATAGCAAGTGTGGTGACTTGAGCACTGTATAAAGACCCCTGTGAAAGGAAGCCTTCTGTTCCCAGGGCAACTAATGACAGTACAAGAATCCTTATGCTCCCCTGCCATTGTGCTTCGCAGGTGGCTAGGACTGAGCATCTTCAGAGCAGTCAATAGTTTGGTTGCTACAAGCCAAAGCCTCTAACTCAGCGGATCCCAAACTGTGGGCTGTCGGGTTTGACTTATGGGAGAGCCCGGGAGAAGGCCTGAGCCCCCTGCCCCCCATAAGAGACAAGAGCCCCCCTGTAAGATTTGAAAATCATAACCTGAGGGGTCTCAGATTTTATTAAGACATTGTGATGGGCAGCCCCATTTTTTTTGCAGACTCAAAGTGCATTTTGAACCCTGGGGGACTCCAGCCCCAAATGGGGTCACAACATCAGCAGATGGGGCAGCAGGGCTGGGGGGCCATGGGTTGGGAGTGAGGGGCCATGCTGAGGAAGTGGGATCATGCTGAGGAAAAGTTTGGGAAGTACTGCTCTAGCTGCTGTGCTGGCACTTCACAGCTGCAGCCTTTCCTTCTGATATGCGTATTAAGAAACTGAGGGAGACCATCAGTACTTACAGGCCTTAATTCTCTTAACTGGGGGTGGGTGGGAGTAACTTGAAGGCAAGGCAACGCAAGCTGCAAAGTGGTCTTGTATAACAGGTGCCTTTACTGAGCGCAGGGCACGAGCAGAAGTTCCCTGTTGCCCGGTGCCCACACCCGTCCCATGGGCACAGCGGGTGAGCGAGCCCTTCCTGCAGCTCCTGAGAGCAAGTGCCATCAGAGGGCGAGCCCCCCTCCCCGCCAGCTGCCCGGCGAGCCCGTTACCTGCGTCCTCCTCCCGCCGCTCGTGCCAGGCGCCCCGAGGCAGACGCTGCTCCGCGTGTGCAAGTAGCCCCGGAGCCCTGGGCGCCCGCAGGCTCGGGCAGCGGCAGGCCGGGGAGGGCGGGACGAAGCCCGCCAGGGCACGCCAGGACGAGCAGGAGCAAGAGCAGGAAAGGAGGGCCCAGGCCGAGCGAGGAGGCGGAGCTGGAGCGGCCGGCCAGGAATCCGGTCAGCTGGTCGCGCCTGCTGGGGAGCCGGGAAGCAGTTGGGGGTCAGTCTGTCGCTCGCCTGGGGGCGGGAGGCAGAGCCGTGGTACTCCTTGGAGATGGATCCGGGGAAGGAGCTGGAGCTGGCGGGCTTTGCATCTCCCTGGGAGCGGGAGGGCCAAGCGCCTGCGAGGTGTTTTGAGGCACTTGGTGAGAAGGTTACGGGCGCGGAGATCGTAGGAAGTCTGCGGCGTCGCGCTTGGAAGGCGCGGATCTCTGCCGCGCGCCGGGGCTGGAAAATGAGGGGGAAATATTCACTGATCGTTTACTGAACAGCTCCGGGGGGGTCAGCAAGTAAACCATTTGAGGATCCTGCCCGCTGTTACAGAGGCTGGTTTTGTGGCCCAGAGGTGTAGGCGATGCGGTGCTGGGGGAGGAGAGGGGTCGGGTAAAATGCCTTTGGTTTTCAGTGCTTTGGGGACAGTGCCCGGTGGCAGCAGAGGCTGTTTGGCGGGGGAGGCACGGGGGGACTCGCGGGGTATGTAGCCAGTGGGAAAAGGTTTGTAAATTGACTCCCTGCAGGGCTATGTAATCAATCGTCTTCCAGGCCTCTGACACTTGCTGGGAATAATTTGGATGTGTCTGTTTCACTGCTGAAGTTTTGTCTTTAATGATGCTGTGTTTGTGTTTCTAATAACAGATGTCTCTCCGTGTAACTCCCTGCACTTTGCCTGCTGCTTTATTTTAAATGTTTTAATGATTCTGGCCACGTGGCGCAGCCTCACTGCACAAATGCCCTTTTTGCTGTTGTGGCACCCACTGAGGAATACAAGATCTGATCCGTGACAGGGCCATCATCTGATGAAGTGCTACAATGAGTCCATCCTGATCCCATGTCTGTTATCCGTATCAAAGTGAATAGTGCAGAACATACTCTCTATTCCTAGAACAAAATTAAGAGATGCTCTGGTAGCTTTTTTTTTCAACAAGCCACTGGGGTATTTATTGAGCAGTGTTGTCCCTGAGCAAAAACAAGGGAATAAATGCAAATGTTAACAAAACATTAATGCTGAGATGTTAATTATGTGAAGGTCCGCACGTTCAAATTTTATTATTTTAGAGGAGCTATTCTATATTCCTGCCACAATCATTACTCCACTTTTATAACATGAATAAGTTCAAGTTACTATTTGTTTTCTGATAAGTACAAGGGAATCAAGTTATATTTGCAGCAGGAACACGTTTGAATTTCCTTATTTTTGTGCAATTTAAATCTCAATCTTTACCACTGTGTTAGCATCTTTTGCATGATTCTCTCCATGTTTGCATATTGTCTCATTACAATTAAAGGTCTGACAGAGGTTTATTCTAAGCAGTTAAAAGCTACAGTTTCTTTTGTCCATAAAATATCTCTTCAGTCAACATAACTTGTTGATGAAATAGTATAAGATGGAAGGTTTAGCAAAACAATTTATTGGAATTAAACCATAGCTCAATGAATTATCCCTTAAACAACAAAATTTTATTGGGTTTTGGCTTCTGATATACCAAATTCTCATTTTTGTAACAGCAAAATATATCTGGAGAGGTTTGACAAATCATTCTCAGGAAGGCCAAAGTGTGCTTTGGCACAACTTCATCCACTTCAAAATGCCTCTTATCTTCAAATGTTCTTCTGTTTGTAAAGGATAAGTCCCTCTGGCACAGAAACGGGCTGGGAGAGTAAGATTAGACAAATTGTGTTTCTGATGTCCTTTCTGTTGTGGCTTGCTTCCCCTTCTTGGGCCCCTTGGTAGTCTAACACTCACCTCTTAATTCCTTTCATACCTTCACCAGTGATACAAAATCTTTCTCCTTTGCAACTTTTTGTTACTACCTCAAACAGCTTTCCTTCATGTGTGTTGTATTTCACCATTACTGTGGCATTTTATTCTTACCTGAAAATATATTTTACCTTGCCCTTACATTTATTTTTCCACAGTTATTGATTAAACTTTGTGATTAAACATTAATTCTGTGAAACATTTCTGGAATATACAAAATTAAGCTGTACTGTAATCTCAGTTACTTCCATAGCATCCATTACAATAGTTTCTGACCGCTTCACAATCTTCAGTCTATTTATCCTAACAGTTCCCCTATGACACAGAAAAGTATAATAATTAGAAGAGTGAAATTTCACTTTATATAGATTCTATCCCTGAAGAGATTATTCAGAAAAATAAGGAGAAGAAAATTTGTGTTGATTCTCTCTCCCCAACCCCCACGATTTACTAGAGTTCATTTACCTCCTAATTTGCATCATTATTATTAACAGGGAACCCTGTCAACAGTGAACAGCAAACAGTAGTTTGCCTGCAGTTGCTGTGTCTAATTTGTGGTCACTGTGTTTAACTAGAGCCTCTTTTGTAGTGACTGTCTGACTGGGTATGTATCTGCAACTTTGCATGGTCTGCTTTGTTTCAGGTGGGCCTTGTCTAGTTAATTGAGGTATGAACCAGGCAGGCTCAGGCCTGGCAGTCTTATAAAAGACAGCTTTTCCAGCAGACTGAGCAGTGAACTGAGGGAGCTTGTTTGAGGAAGAAGGGCTGAGCCCAGGAGAAGTGAACAGTTCTAAAGCACGGTCTAAGCATTTTCCACAGCAGTTGTTACCTATTTGGCAGGGCTTTTCAACCTCTTTTAATGTGTACCCCCGGCAGCTGGACGCAGAGCAGGGAGGGGGTGTGATGCATGGCCAAACACAGAGTGGCAGGAGGGCCGGGGGGGGGGGGGGG